CGGCTATTAATAGCACACTGCGGGTTTCTCTTTTCCACTTTTTTCCCCAGACGGTGCTGCTAAAAAATCCAGGTAAAACCAAACGTAAGCAGCGACCACACTCAGGCGTGGTGAGACAGTAATAGTAACTTTCTTTATACAGCAGCTCTCATGCTCAGATACATACTGTACCTCCACCAAGACCCAACAGCCCCCTTACATTCAACACAGCCGCACAAATATACACACACATATCACTCCCCCAAATATCTTTTTAATCAAATTTGTGGACTCGCAATATATATATGGAAAGTCTGAGAAATCCTGAGAACTAATAGACAAACAAATGCAATGCAAACAAGGCAGAGTTAAAAACGCAGCCTCTCCAGTATAAGAGAAGTGGGGATGTTGAGAAGGTGGAAGGATGTTTAAAGATTTATGAACCAAGCAAAAAGAACCAGTTCAGCCAGTACAGAGTCAAGAGCAGTGGCTTAATGTGATCTTTTCTTTAACATTTGTTCAAGCTCCAGAAGAAGCGGATATCTACGCCCCTATAGCTTAAGACTCTTGATGTTATTATAACTGTGCTCAAATTGAAATTAAAATTAAGATTCAGTTTCCCCGAGTCTGAAATCGCTGTTAATTCTGTGAATCTTGGCCCGATAGCTGATTATTTATTCAAGTTCACAAGTTCATCTCTTTCCACTGAGTCCTGAGAAGAAAATCTGTTTTCTCCTCATTTAACTCTGAAGTTGGCTGCGCCTCTGTGAATTCATGTGGTTGGAGAATCGGTATTATCTCTTAAAAGTTAAATATTAAACTGCGCGTCGTCGGTTTAACAGTGTCACAACACTGATCACAGTAGCAGGAGGTATCATGTTTAAAAGACAGTGGGCTGAGAAGAGTTCCTTGAGGAACACCAATGTCAACATCACAGAAAAAAGTATGTTAAGTAAACAAAGTGTCATAGTAACTTGTCAAACACTGTACAAACAACAGACTCTTTGTTTGCATCGACAAACAGTCTCAGTTTCTGCCATGTTTTTCTGCAGGGCTATTTCTGTGCAGTGGCTTGTTTGATAACCGTTCTAAAACTTTTGTAATATGCTGCTGTCAGCGAGATGACTGGGCATGTGGTTAAAACAGCTTTCTTCAGAAGTTTACACGGAGAGGGAGATAACAGATGCATCTATAATTGTACGGTCGGCTCTGGGTTACATTTCTTCAGCAGAAGGTATACGGGAGCTGTTCTGAAAGCTTTGGGGGAACAGGCCTAATTGTAGGTTGTTACCTGGCATAGACACTAGAAGCTGACTTTATAGAGCTCGGTCCGGGTGGGGGGGTGGTCTGGGTGGGGGTGACTTCATCTTGCTAATGGCGGCACTGCCTGCAATTTCTCTCATCATAATAAAAACGGTAATCCTAGATCCCAGGGAGTTGTTACCTAAGTCGAGCCATATTGCCTCTGTTGTTGACTTATTCAGATTCTACTGAAAATGCGGCCTGACAGTAAAATACAGTCGCCGGGTCACGAGATTGACGGGGGATCACGGGGAACACGACACCCTCCGACAGGTCGAGGACGACCCCGGTGTGCCGCTCATAATTAGATTCTTCTCCCAACATTTTGCTTGGAGAAAACAAAGTGTGGGATTTAAAAGGACAGAGGTGTCACCGACGTGTGATTTACAGCCGGGGTTACTTGCATAGTGCAGCGTGTCGCAACCTGTCAATAGAGTCACTAAGCGGACAGCTTTTGTAATCAGGTTTCGGTGGCGAAACACAAAATTCAGATGCCATTCTGTCACTACATGAGGAAACAGCCTGTAATCAAGACCATGTTAATTTGCAGAGACACTCGACATAAGTCCAGCGAGGTTTATTCCGCAGGAGGTTGTATTTTCAGATGCTCCATCATATTTATTTCATAACTTATCTGACACTCACAGGCCATTTGTCTGACACAGGCTCAAAGGGATTGAAGGGAGGGGAAATTGAGCAATTACATGAATCAATATCACTCTGGAGTGCAGCAAAAGGTATACCGGGTCTATTTGGCGGATTTTCAGGGAAGTGGGCAACAATTCAAAGCCCGGTTTGACTGATTTGTGTTGAGAATATATACGTGAACTCACTGGTGATGACGTGGGCCACAACTCAGGCAGGAGCGGAAACACAGGGATGAGAAGTAACCTTGGAAAACACACTGTATCATTGACATCACCAGCTACACGGTATCACATATTCCCTCTGGTAAAGGAGCCTATTAGCAACTTGTCCGTTTCTCCTTTGAATAGATATAACAACTTCTTGTGTTAAGAATAAATGTTTAGAAAGACAGGGGGAGGAGAATCCCGTGGAAGGATGCTCTCCATCATCATGGACGACCCTGCGCCATCAGGTTCTAACAAACACTCGAACCAGGAAGTGCTCATGAACGTCAACATTCCCATTTAACCGTCCTGAGATTTGAGTTCTTTGTGTCATTGGCCGACCCGTCCTCTATGACAGCTGACACGCTCAGCTCATCAAATCAGTCTGCAGGTGGTGATACTAAGTGGTGCGAACACCGACTGTGGGCGCCTCATCAAAAACCATTCACCTGAGACCGGCGATAGCAGCTGCTGATGAGGTGCTTGTGTTTTGCTGGCAGATAGTGTTATTGAGACATTTTGTTCTGTTCACACACAAGCTAGCAGTCCCCTGGGATGAGGCAGGGAGGCAGGGAGCCTGCAGCACTGGAACTGGAAGGAGGAACCACATCTCGGCACATGATGGGCTGATTCTGGTACACAACAACAAGCTGCTGCTGCTGCTGCTGCTGCTGCTGCCTCCTGCACGGGGTGAGGGGGGGAAACTATCCCCACCAAGCCGTTTACACAACCGTATGGTACATATAGTATGAGCCTGTGCTCTGGAAAGAAAAGTGAGACGCACAATAACAAGAACAAGCACCATTAGCCACCCACAGCTTGTGCTTGGACACACACGCACACACACACTCAAAGACAATTGAATGCTCACCCACGCTGACGCATGAAACAGACCAGCTCGCCACGAAAAATAACACTTGGCGGTTGATTCACAGGTCCTCGAGCCTACATTGTCATTACAGGGCAGCCTTTTGACGGATGCATCATTTTATGGAAAGAAATCACTTTCCTGCACTCCTCCCGTTAGCCCCACATCCGCACAAATGTCATTCGATACGGCGACTGGCACCGCCGCCCCGGCTGCGGGATCAGAGAGCGGACGGAACCAGGAGCAAGCTCCGGCCGGGCAAAGGTGGAGCAGCAGGTGACAAGGGGAGGCACGGTTCTCAGGCACAAATGGAGGAATGGAACAAGCAAAAGAGGGTGTGGCAGCGCTCACCATTCTCAAACCAGATCTTGCATTCCTGAAGGCTGGAGTACGGCACCAGCTCCCCACCTTCCCCCTCCAGCGACACGAGCAGTCCTTCCTCCCTGAGCGATGACCAGTTCATCAAAATCAAGAAGAGAAAAACAGGAAAAAGAGGAACGCCTGCAGCCGAGCAGGGGAGGATGAGTGCGGGGGTACTGATGCTCTCCTCCTCGCTCGTCCCTCCTGTTTCCTTGCCGAGGAGATCTCCACAGGTTTCAGCGCTGATGCTGCCCGCTCAGTGCAGTCGCAGTAAGTGATACAGAGCCAGGGAGATGTGGTAGTGACGGGAGGAGCGAGAGAGGAGGAGGAGATGGGATAGAAAACGGAGGGAGGGAGGAAAAAGGGAAGGAGGAAGGAAGAACGCAGCAGTCACTGTGTCACTGGGGGAAAGCGGGGGGGGGGGGACACAGAGGTGACACTGGCAGCATGCACCGAGGGCTGAGCAGGGACCGCAACCTTCGCCGCTAGAGGAAAGAAACGGAAATAGGAAAAAGAACGACAAAGCAGAACGGGGAGTTTTTCCCGTGACGAGCGCAGACGGGACCGAGCTGCTGGCTCGCACTCCGTGACTGCATCAGCGCTTAGCGTGTTATGTATAGATGTGAGAGGCGCTCGCTCGCTCGCTCGCCCGCCCGCTCCACGGGAACAGGAGCCCAGGTCTCCAACAGATGAATGGTGCAGTGCTGCTGTTGTCATGGCAACCGCGGAGCAAAAAAAAAAAAAAAGGAGGGGGAGGAGAAGGGTGGGTATTGGGGGAGGAAGGAAAATGGCATAAAAAAAAAAAAAAAAAAAAGGGACGGAGTGAGGGAGGAATGGGAGTTTTGCCGTTCGTGGACGAAGCGTTAGGAGCACATCGGACCACGAGTGGGGGGGTGGGGTGGTGGTGTAGGGGGGGAGCAGGGGTATTATTTAACAGGGACAAGAGTTTCAATAAAACCTACTCCATCTTCCTCCTGGGCCCGGGCAGCCTTGTTTGTCTGTCCTTGTTTTACCCTTGAAACTGTAGTTGTACGGCTGCGGCCATGTTTTAAGGCTATTTAAGGAGCTCAGGCCTCGAAGGGCCGAGAGTTTATTGGGAAGCGTCTTTGTTTTTGTCCGTCACTTAGTGAGCCTGCTGTTTTCTGAGTAGTTCTTATTTATTAATCTCCTCCGGTCACACTTTATTTCCCCAGGGTGACATCGCCAACCCCTCCCGAATGTTGCCAACGAGACGGCTACGGGTCAAAGTTTTTAAAGTGCCACGTCACCTGAAACCCCCAAATCCTCTTTGCATCAAACTACCGCTGCTGTCAAACATCTTGTTTTCTGTCGCGGCCAACTTAACATTTACATCTGAGGAATGAAACAAGCGGAGTGTGTTTCTGTGTCGCGCACGTTGTCAACAAAATGCAACAGGATCCAGTGGAAAAAAAACAAAAAACAAGTGGGGGTGGCTGATCACATGCTCGGCTTTAACTGTAACACTATTATCACCAAAATAAGCTCAGATGCACTCGCTCAGGGAGGTTGCATAAGTGTGTGAGAGACAGAAGCAGAAAAGAAACAAGGCTTTGTCGGTGGCTGGTGATTGTAAATAAAAAGACCTTTAATGAACTGATAGTAGTTAAATTTTACCCCCCCCGCAACAGAACTTTGTCTTTTTCTTCATAAGCAACAATCAGAAGTTCGTTATTTTAGTTAGAAACTGTTAAATCTTGAAAACTTGAAATTAGCTGTTTTATGTAATTCTGTGCGAGTATCATTTTAACATCATTCGTTTTAATTATATCAATACACATGATTATTCCTTTAATGACAGGGATCTTTTCAGCATCTTCTCATCAATATAGTTGATTTAAGATAAATATCCTTTTGCTTCTCTCTTTTAAATATTTACAGAGTGATCAAACATCTGCCCTCTGATGAACCGCAGCTTTTCATATGAAGCTCTGCATATTTGATTAGGTGTGTCAACACAGAGACGAGATTTCATCAAACTTCCCTTTTTCTGATATTTTCTCAAAACATTCGCAGTGAAAGGTTTTGTTTTTTTTGCATCAGTCGGTTCAGCTGTTGACCTGTTCCTTCTTTAAATATTCTGCACGAGCGTTCGCCATTCATGTCGACAAGACTCAACAAACGAAATGTTTCGCTCCCTCCGATAACTTTACATTGACGTGCTGTTACATGAGCGGTAAAAGCCTGATGTTTACATGTAATAGAGAATAATGGATATTTGCCATGATGTCTCATCACTGAAAGATCCAGACTACTTGGCAGAGGACTAAACTTTGACAAGAATGTCTGTCACAGCACTTAATCCAAATGGTTCCTTAGTGCTCCTCCTGAGGGCATCGTACTTCCATTTCAATTACTCCTTTCTGCACTTAACCGTCACTCTTTGTATTTCACCTGTGACAGTGGAGCTGAAAATGTCACATTTCCTTTCAGCAGAACAAATGATTCGGAGGGTCCGTGGCGGCCGGGACGGCTGAGGCAAGAAATAATGACAATAATTGAAGAGCGATTTTCTCTGGGTGCTACGCTGGGTAAGGAGGCGTGGAGATTGAGATATCCCAAATGTCAGTGTTCATCTCGAATATTCACAGAAGACACAGATGCCATATAAACGCGCCGCTGGGTAAGGAGGCGTGGAGAGAGGGAGATTGAGATGTCCCGAATGTCAGCCTTCCTTTCCAAAACGCACCGAGGGGACAAGATATCGTTAAATGCTGCCGGCGTGGCGCAGCGCAGGTTTGTGGTAGATGACGTCAGGTCCAGGTTATACACGTTGTGATGTCAAGAAACCAGGAGATCCAGTCAAATCTGAAGCATATACATGAGAAGAGTTTGTCCAAAAAACAGAAGTGATGGTTTTGTTGACATGATTTTGAGAGTGAGAGAGAGAAGTTGATCTTTACTGATGCAGCTGAACATGTTGTTTCCTGACACTCATTACATTTATCAGACTGTTTTAGTTACAAGTTACTTCGTAGGTTAAGATTTTAAATACAAATTAATGCGTTGCTATAAAATGCTATGCACTTATAGGAAGAGCGAATAAGCACGAGCTCTCTGAATGTTCTACTGTAGGAGAAGATCTAAACTATCTTTGTTTTCATCACTGATTAATATAATTTCTCATTTAATCAATTAATCATTTAGTTTAAATGATCGTCAACATTTCCTCATCGAGATGACTTCAGATGTCTTGTTTTGCTCGAAACAATTCAAATTCATTTAATATAAAGTTCAGATGATGAAAAGAAGCAAATTCTCACATCGTCGAGGTCGGAAACGACCGATCTTTTATCAAAATACAGTATTTGCAGATTAGTTTTCTTGTCATCGGATAATCAGAGCATGGCTACAGAGCAGATTTCCTGATTATAATCCACTCTATGTTGAAGATGTGCTTCAACAGGTGATCCTGCGCGTCTCCAATCCGGACAATTATCTTGCAAAATGAAAATAGACTCCGTCACAAGTGGCTACTTCACCAGAGCTCATCTGTTTTTCGTGCGGGTCCTTTAAGACCACCCACACAATGAGCTGTGAAACCTGACGAAGCAGTTCTGCACACAGCGCCTTGTTAATCCTGACCATCCTCCCCGCTGCTGAGCACTTCTATACCTTCGTCATGTCCAATTAGAAGTTAGCTTACTGTAGTGCCACTCCATTCATACATTACTCTCACTGTAAGCACCACAGAGACAATGGATTTCAGATGTACTCATATTACTGTGATAATTGCAGCAGGAGTGTGTGTGTGTGTGTGTGTGTGTGTGTGTGTATCACATCTAGCCTCTGTTTTTCTCAGATTTTAAGGCCGAACGCAATTTTCTACCTTCGTGTTGCTATCCACGGGGAAACAGTAATTGTATTGATTGCTGCCATTAATTAAGAGAAAGCAGTGTAATCTGGAGAGAGCTGTTGAAATAATTCCATTTAAATGTTTCAGACTAAAGCAGACCCAATCAATCAAGTGGGGGGGAGGGGGGAGCTGAGCCCGACACTGGAGGGGAGGCGTTTATTAAGAAACAAATAAGCAATCAGGTGATTACTGCTCATAACAATCAGCCGCTGAGGTATCACTGTGAGACGGAGCAATCGCTGGCTCTCAGCTGAAAAAAGAAAATAGACGAGGTAAACAGGTGAGTGCGTTCAGTTTCGCTCTTCGAAGGTACTTCACTTGAGTATTTCCATCCCATACCACTTCTGCCTCATCTCAAATCACACAGGGATACTGTGGTTTTAACGCCACAACATTTATTTAACAGCTGCACCGGGATTTTTCATAAAACACATGATGAGGATCCATCATCACTGAATCAACAAATCAACACTGCACAAGTTCTTTCTAATTTTACAGGAAGTTAGTGGATAGTAGAGACTTTTTTATACCGATACCGGCATGAAAACTACCTCCAGTACTGCAGAGTTGTAATGTTTAGATCAACTTTAATTGTTCGGTGTCTCTGCATCTTGGCTCTGATTACAACCTGATTATAATAAATTACTTTGACTTATTCCCGTGTTTAAGATTATTGTCAGAAGCCTCTAAATAGATTTTAATGGTTTATGATGAATTCGTGATGAGTTTTATTCTTGTGATTTTATACAATGTTTTGTTAGAAAGTCACCATGAAGTAAAAAATGGATTATTATTATTATCCTTGTAATACAAATGCTACCTCCACGTTCTAAGCAGTTAATCGTGTTTAATTACTGTCGTTGTGTTGGGTCACTGATTTGCCGAGAAGTTTCCAGGAACGAACAACTACATTTTTAATGACCCACTATATGAGACCATCTAGGTAACATTAACAATTCATTGGAATTCATTAATTATAATTGTACCAGTTGAACAGTCTGTACATTTTAAATTATAATTAGCAGCAAATTTAAACTGATTCTTTCTAGGAATTCTTACAGGGAGCAAAAATGTTCACACTTCTATTTTTGATAATAGTTTGTTAATTATACTTTTACTTTGTGGTTATTGTTACTTAAATAAAGACAGAAAGAACAGCCCTGTATGTAATTTATGTTATGTAAAAAGAATATGAGCCAATAAAACAAGATTTCTTCTTCTCAGTTTCATGCTTTTCTTAGAGCTTTCTTACTTTTTTGGATAAACGCAGTGGAAAAGTACTTTTATATTCAATAATGTCGACAGAAAATCAGGTGTGACCATCCGAGTTCAATGTGATACTACAGCCCTGCACGCGTCGTGCCTGTTTCTCAACCAGAGGGGATTAAATCAGAAGCTCAATGACTCTCCAAAAAGGTCAGCGCCTTCGTAACGCTTTCATACTATCAGAGCCACGAGTTGGAATAACTCACCGGCACCACGTTGCCTTCCTGAGGCCAATCAGAGGCCGTACAGGACGGAAACGAGAGGGTGTGGTTGGTGGAGGCCACCGGGGGAGATGAGAGCGCCGCTGCCTTCAGACCTGCTGCTGTTCGCTCTCTAATGCACTTCTCTGTCACCTCTCTTTCTCCCACCTCTGCCATCTCTCTGGCATGGGAGCAGATCTGGCCTCTGACACACGCGCACACACACACATTAAGAAACAAACACACACACGAGCTTGGTGCTCAAGCTGTTCAGGAAGTGGTGCTGAGTTGAATTAATTAAAGGGTGAGAAAGCCGGGGTGGATGAGGCCTAACAATCTGGTGCTCGATGCCACTTGAGAGCAGACGCAGGTCTTTGAGGACTTCAAGGAGACGGCACCTCGAGGCACTTGAGGACTTTTGTACACATTGTCATGACGCAGGAGCAGTTAAGTATACTTGGTAAACAATACTTGGTTACAGGGCTTCTCACAAACAGCGCGGACAGAAGCAGAGTCCCGCAGTGCTACACGTGTCACACTATAGCCGGACACAGAGACACAAATCTGGAAGGATTAACACACAGAGTGACTAATCCTGCCGAAATGAACACACTGTCGAGCACACAAGCACACAAGCACACAGGGACACTTGAAAGTTAGAGTGGAGTAATGATCCAAAGGTAAAACAAATCAGACAAGGCTGAAAATGCAGGAAACACACAGTGGAGAGAAAACAATTCCACGTTCCCACGTTAGAATCTATAAATACAACGCAGCCCTCACAAGAAGCATCACCTGACAATCCTTCAATACTGCAAAGTCTCCCTACGTCGGACGTGGAATAAGAAGAGTTCGGAGCACCGTACGTGAATGAACATTCTCCTCCTGTGAAAGATCAAGACAGAAACGTTCACATGTTCGCATAAGAGGAAAAGAGCTCTGAGTGGTTGAAGACAGGTAACGTGCTAAGTAAGTAGAGTTCATTCACCGAAGAGAAAAAGGGTAATTCGGCCCTGACGTTGTCTCAGATCTAATTTCCAACTCTCTCCAACAACAGCTTGTTCCGTCACACACGGAGCCCTCCACAGTGACGTGGCTCGCCCACTCACAAAGACCGCAAATCTCTTTTGGCGTGTTTCCTCTCGAAAATCAACAGCTTGGAAGACCCGTGCCGGGGAAAGACCATAAATCATTCTGTGTGATGTAAAAATCCTGGTCCCCCTGGCGTCATCAGAAACGTTAATGATCTGAGGTAGCTGAGAGGCTGGTGCACCCTAGTGGTGGCTGCTGAATCCAGCTTTAAAGTCCTTTACACCCACTCTCACTCGACTGTGGAGGCTGTGCTCACATTACAGGCAGAGCTGCAGTGTCAATATTTCATTTCTCATTTTGAAATCCGGTTCAGCAGCGAGCCTCGGACCACAGCTTCAACCACAGTACCAGAGCGTGACACACACACACACACACTCATAATCCAGTTAATGGGGAGACAGAGGGGGATTTTCTGTGTTCTGGAGATGAGTGTGGAAGGAAACGATTAGCGGTGGGAGATTGAGTGCAATAAAAGGAAGCAGAGAAACAGCTCACAGTCCGTCAGCTGTTCTGGGCACTGTCAATTAAGCAGGACTTTAGTGTTTACAAGAATTGGAAATTACAGTGTTTGCCACACGCTGCAGCTCGGCCCGGCTTCATGCTTCCTCTGCGGTGAGTGATTACTGCACATCAGCGAATCAAACCACTCCTCTTCACTTTGACTCATAAAACCTGCTTTAATTCAGAGCGTGATTCTCTGATTGGATCCACAGCCCACAGGGGCAGAGTGGAGGGTTACGAGAGGGTGAATTAGTACAGTGAGCCCATGGGGGAGGACGGGACGTGCGTACGAGACAAATTTGAACCAGATTCAGCTCACATCTCTGTCGGCTGTGGGTTTCTTCCCAAAATCAGCTTTTAAACAAAACCCAAATTTAGAAAAAGCAATTTAAATGCTGCGTGAATTCTTCTTTTACCTGTGAGCTTCTTCACAGGCTGCAGCCGGACACTGATGGTCTGGTGGGTGAGCAGCGGGGAGGAGGGCAGCGAGCGGGACACGCCCTCCATAATGCGAATGTGCTGCATGCCCTCGGTCATGGAGAGCGTCGGCACCGCGTAGTCTCCTTCAAAGGCGCAGTCGCTGTCGATGCTGCCACCTGTGGGACGGGAGGGAAGACAAGATGTAGTGTGAGGTGCTGTTTGCTAAAAATGTAAAGACAGAGACAGTTGGAAAGACTTAACAGAAGGAAAGGAAGTTAAACTGTCGTAAAAATAACAGTTTACTGTTTACAACGCTACTTTCCCTTCTGTATTTGAGGATACGTTAATCAAAGGATGAATTAATGAATTAATAATCAAACGACTGAGCATCCCAGTGCTTATTTGAAGGCTCCTGTCGGATTGCAGGGTGTTGCTGTTTGCTGAGCCCCTGTAGAAACTGTTTGAACGACAGACATGAGTATTCTGAGCGTACGTCCGCCCGCTCCCTGGATTCTGATCTCGGTGCAGCACCAGTATCGAGCGCAACAAGATTGGTGTGACCCAGAAGAGAGAACAGCCCTGCAGGCAGCACAGGCTGTTTACGTTCACAGCTATGAGCTACACACTGCCTGACCGCCACAGAAACACAATACCCCACAATTCTAATGTAATTAAAAAGGACTTTTCGAACCATCTGAAATATGTGTTTAAACAAACCGAGTAAACAGCAGCCATGACTATGAGAGAGCATTTTATTTGTAAAATGACAACGAGCAGTAATTACAGACGGAGCACAAACAGCCACTCTCAATCACTCACCCACCTCCTCTTCCTCTTCAAAAGCCACAAATCATGACAACTAAGGGTTTTTTTTTTTTTAAACTTCACACACTCACTCCCCAGTGAACACAACCAGCCAGCTGTCTATAAACACAACATCCATTTTGTGAATCAGCTCTGGCTCCGGCTGCCCGTCTCCCTGCAGACGAAGCTGCAAAACCAACTGGTCAGGCAACAGTCTCACATCAGACAGTGAGACATGGAGCCATTATCAGACACTAGTCCCACAGGAAGCCTGCGCGATGTCTGGAGATGGAGATTCAAAACGAGTTCAGACACTATTGCACACAAGGAAGAAAGAACTCAACACAACACACACGTACACACACACACACTCTCCCTCTCAGTGCTGGAGTCAGTCCACCCATTCACTGGGGAATGTCACTGCAAAAAGCAAAAACAGCAGCCAGAGCAGCGGTTTCATCCCCCCGCCAGGAAATTCTCCTCATGTATGCAGAGAGTGGTGTGAATACCAAGTTCCCCCCTTGGTATTCTGGCAGCAATTATCAGTGGTTGAGATCCAACTTAATTTTAATGGATTCCAGTATTGGATTCTGCAAATATTCTCAATATAGTAAAGGAATTACCAGCGTTTCACATGAAGACGATCATCTTAAAAGCAACAGTGATGCCAAAGAGGTATATTTAGTATTGCTGACTTTAGTTTCTATTCTTAATCATCCTGTTCAAGCTGTGATACGCTGAAGTACAAAAAGGTGTGATTTAGTCGAAGGTGGCGAGGGAGGAAAAATCACTTGGACTTGGAAATGATGGTCTTTTCTTTTATATATACGGCGATGAGAGCCTCGTTCAAGATCCCCCTCCATGACTCGAAATCAACACAAACACCTACTCATCGAGGTGTTCGGCAACGAGGAAGAAAACAAAAGGTGAAATGAAATTATAATTGCCCAAAACATGCCCTGCCACGCGTTGACATCCCCCCGCTGATGATAAACATCCACCGCTGTGCTGAAAGCAGCCGATTACCCCCCCGAAGAAACTCGAGATTTACAGACAGAATTACAAGACTATAAAATTCATACACTGTAAATATAACTTCAATTCCAGTAGTCGTAAACTTTTCTGCTATGAAGTCGAGTAAAATACAGCGCGGGAAACAGGGCCTCCGCGGGTTCCTTCTGTGAAAGCATTAAAGGAGAAGAAATGAAGTCTGGAAAGAGGCCGCAAGGAGAGAAGTGTTGAAATCAGGAGGAAAACAGCGTATGTGTTTTTGTTCTCAATCATTTTGCTTCTGATTCACTCACATACACACATTCACAGCTGACTCTGGCTCAGTACACTTCACAATAATGGGATGCTCAAACTTTGCAGGCACAACTGAATCTCATGAATCTGTGAGACATGATAAACGTATTCCAGAAAGTGTTGTTAGCTTACCTTGGCCGACGTGGCACAGGTGAGGGTCTAGACTGGGCGAGCGGGCATCTGCCAAGTCCTCGCTCCCACCATCTACAGACAAGGAGCAGAAAGAGAAAGGCAGGGATTGAGCTCGGCACTGGTGGAAACATTGCGGGAGGGTGCCGGCCAGCAGCAAGGCCACCTCCTCCTCCCCGATCAGCCAGGTGTGGGAGCGCAGGACTCCCAGCAGGCTGCTCACACACAGCCCCTCCACGCCCTTCCTCCTGGGGCCCAGGCGGCCCCTTATGGTTGCGAAGGGGGACCGCGCCACCACGCTCCACTTTTTCCTCCTCCCCATGGCTAGACTAAACATCTGTAGGGCCTGCCCATGCAGATAACAACGTAGTTTACATTACAGCCACTGGTGCATGCAGAAAGTCCTGTGGTGGAGCCACAATCCCAGAGCTCACTGGGCTCTACGGTTCAATGGGCAGGGACTAGCAGCAAAAGAGTGGGCGTCTCCCTGGATAGATCCACATACGTTAATGATACAAGGATCAATTACGCCCAAGGGAGCAGGCAGGCTAAATCATCCACAGTGGATGGAGCTGGATGGGGAGGGGGGGGTGGGCAGCATCACTGGGCAGCACAGTCGGTGTCACTGGGGATCGTTTCATAATCCTGTTCAAGTGTGGAGGGATCTACTGTAAAGCACGACAGCCCGGCAGAGGAGCTTTGGAACAACTGATTTATACTCCGAATAAACGTCCCACTGGAATTAAAAGAGCTATTAATAAAATCTAAACTAAGCCACTTGTGTGAAAACTGGTCTAAGCCCGTGGATTTTCTGTGTGTTGAAAGATCAAATGCAGGAAGAGGAGTATGTTTTGCCGCGGCCCCGCATTGTGTTTCCATCGCAGCTCTCTCCACCAGCCGAGCAAAACCCAAACAAATACGCAAGAATTATCTCCACCATCGCAGGTTCACACACACACACACACACA